GTTAAATTCACCTATTGTGCTAACTGTTTAAACATATCATGAAATAAATATAACTTAACCCAATAATTAGTAAATATATAGGTAGCATAAGATATATAAGATACTAGCTGTGTCAGCGACTTCTTCCGCGTAGGATAGTTTTGGGCATCCAAATTTATTTTTGCAAACCTCTATAATCTTTATAAATTTAAATTGCCCACGACATCGGTCGCGACCTGTCGCTCTCGACCCGTCTTTCGGGTCCCGTAGTTCTTGCAAGTTAATCTTAAAAGATAGAACTATAGTGTCTCGGATTTTTAAATCATTAAAAGAGGAATCATTATTTCATATATATTTTTTGGGTGTCGTGAACCGTTTTCGCAGCGTACGCATCTGAAACCCACAGAGATGAAAAATTTACCCGTTTTGTTCACATTTCCCGCTGTATCTTCGCTTTTATTAGTCACAGTGCGATATTTTAAAGTCTTTCTCGATAAATACTCCAACCAACAAAAAGTAATTTTTCAATTCGAACCCGTAGTTTCTGAGATTAACGCGTTCAAACAAATAAACTCTTCAGCTTTATATATTAGTATAGATATAGCATAAAATGTTATTGAATTGTACTTGTCACATGGCATGCATAGGGAATGAGGAATAGTCAACCATGTCTTCATTGGATTATTAAAAATATACTTACCTAAAAGCCATTAAGTAGTATTATGTTTTTCACCGTGCATCTGCGACGTAATAAATTCAGTGTCGCAATGTTGACACAAACAAATTCAAAGCGTCGCGTCCCGAGTGAGGTGAGAATTTAAGAATATAACATTTTCGTCAACAGACAAAACTGAGTACTTTGTGCCGTGAATAAAGTGTTTAACTGAATTGTGAGGTGGCACCTCAAATGCACTTTTATCAAGATAATCCAATTTAAAAATAACTTCTTTCTCTCTCTCTGTAGCCAAAACAGAAACATTTTGTGTAGGTTTAAAAATGTCTTCGACGCCGAGAACACTCACGAAACAATACAAGAGAAAAGAAGAGTCAGCACAAACTCGAGACAAGAGAAGAATATAATAAGAGGCTTTAAAGCCATCTCATGAAATTTTGAATCGAAATAATGCAATTGCTAGAATTTGAAAACTTTAATTTTTTTACATGTTATTGCACATGAAGGCATATAATTTAAAAAGTCGAAAATAAATTGAAAATATTTTCGACTCGGGCAGAACTTGAACCGGCATCGTCAGCGTCCTGGCCGAGTCGATTTTTTTTTGCTAAGATCATGTCAATAAACTTAGGACTCAAGTCCGTAAAAAAATGTCTTCAAAGAATGCAAGTAAAGATTTACGTGACTACTCGTATATATATGGTCTTTCACAAAAAGCTGCGGTCGTACACAAAACACTTACCACAATTCAAAATGACCTTTATACAACCGCAGAATCATTTCCGATGCTGTATCCTTATAAAAATGATTACAACACAAAATAGGCTCTCCGTAGTTATTGTGCGTGAAAGCCCGTTTCCCCCTCATGGGGCATGGGGCGAACACATTTCTGTGTCCGTTTCACTGATCCGTTCTTTAACAGGCAAGTAGTTGATCAGACTTCTGTGACCTGACTAAAACAATTTAGGCAATAAATATAGGCGGTCGTAGCGGCTCCGTAGTTATTATACAAAGTAAATTTCCGTGTCCCTTATCTAGATGTAGTCAATCTGTTAATGAGCAACCCTCTTAGTTTAATTGATGCTATATATATTTAAACTTTTTTTATTAAAATAATAATTGTATATCTTAGTAATACGTAATGTTTTTTTATACAATTTAGTCTTTGTCGTAGTGTCGTAAACTTTACATTTTGTGTCTGTATACAAATCTTATGTTGTGTTATAGACAAATTTGTATTTTTCACCTATTTAAAATTGAGTTATATGTTGTAAGAAATTGTGATAAAAAGTCGGACGTCCTAAAATAAATAAATTCGACCAGAAACAAGTACCTAATTGTGAGTAAAGAAAACGGGATTTCATAAAGCGATTAAATAAAACACTTAAACGGTTCAAAACGCGGAATATATAAGTTAAACCTATTTGAAAATTATTTAAACTACGGTCCGACGTCTCGGATACTGCAGCCATGAAATATGTGCAGAATTTAAATGTGTACTACTCAACGTAAACTACAGACTGTATTTCATACTTGTTTCTAGACGAAACTATATTATGTTTTTTTCTCCGTAGTAATTTACAGTAATCACAGTGAGCTAATAACGTTGTCGGGCATTGTTCGCTCACCTTTGCATGCAAATTAGGTTAAACCTCAACAATAGGCCAAACGCTTCAACATTTGCATTGAGTTAGCTCGGGAGTTATGGCGAAATCTTTATGATGTTAACATTGTCTCGTGCTAGATTTTACCCAATGCCGTCAATTTAAACTTTTGTACATAACTGTTGGTATGTTCATTATAAAAATCTGTAGGTCTGTTATATATTCAATGAAAAACTTATAACGGTTTAAAACGGGTATTAACGGTATCGCTGGTGTAATGATATTGTATAGGTTGGTCGATCCCCAAACACTTTAACGTTTTAATACGCGATATATTAGTTAAACTTATTTGAAAATTATTTTTAACTTCGGCCCGACGTTTCGGATGCTTTGCAGCAGCGGGGCAACGTCGGGCCGAAGTTAAAAATAATTTTCAAATAAGTTTAACTAATATATCGCGACGAACTCCGACTGAATAAAGCTATAAAGATAGAAGAGAGAACTATGTAATGTATAAAAATTCAAATGAGTTTAATTTTTAGACAAAGTTTTCTTTTTATAAAAATAAAAACAAACTTTAGCATTCCTAACATATATTAAGTCACATGCCATTATAAAGGTAAATAAATATAAATGCAAATATTAACACAAGTCTGATACAATAACCGACAAAATTAATTATCGCAAAATAGTTGATTTATTCCGACAGATTTCACCTATAAACTTCCAATATTATAATTACATTCTCTTCAGCCAGATGCATTCTGAAAATTTCGTTGTTTCAGAGCGAATGTTGGGAATGCAAAATTACGTCATATTTTGGCGGATATTTCAGTACAACCGCCGGCTTTCCGGCCATATGAATATAGAATGTTAACTCAAAACTGCATTAGACTTCTCTATTCATGGCCAATTAAAACTGAAATCCGCTTTTGGCGGCATATGTACTATCTTTGCGAAAATAGTATATTATGTAGGTTTATATATTTTTTTTCGTTTATTTTGATGGGTTTTTATTATTTTTAATTTAAGTTTATTTTGTTTAGTATAAGTAATCAGTAAGTTTCTCACTTCTTGCACACTGTATAGTTTTTTAATTAATCGTTAAGTCTCTTTCGACTCGGGTTGCCTGGACGAGATCGCTTATAGCGATAAGGCCGCCCGGTACACTATAGTTTTAAATTGCATAGTATCTGTATGTTGTTTGGTGTACCTAGTGTGAAATAAATAAATTTATAGTTACACTCGCCGACCGCTTCTGTAGCCAAATGGTTAAACGTATTGCCTAGCATTGCTTCAAGCGCGAGAGTGCAGGACACATAAAATTGTTTCGATCGGGTAGGGCACAGAAGTCTGATCAACAACTACTTGACCGTTAAAAGAACGGACCAGTAAAACGGACACAGAAATGTGTTCGCCCCACCAAGGGGAAACGGGCTTTCACTTTCACTTATAGTTACACTCGCCAAACATCACAGTGTGTACAAACAAAATATTTGAAAGGCTCGTTGGTTTAATAGTAACAGGATGTTGAATTAGTGAGTCTGCAGAATCCCTTTGGTCTTGAGTTCGACTTTTACCAATCTCAAATATTATATTTTATTGTTCTTGCGAGTTAATCTTATTATAAACTACACCATGCTCCTTTATTCACTAAATTAAAATAAAACATCTCAGCCAAGATAGGATGTCGACATATTTTGTCTTTGAAACGCGTTACCTTTCTTCCGTGGATGGCAGTTCGTGAGGGATTGGAGGGAGGGGAGGGAGAGATTTTAAATTAAAATAATAACACGTCACCTGATGGGAATCGAACTCACGACCCGTTGATTTTCCAAAGCCACAAATTGCTACCATAACATCAGCGAGCTCATTGACATGATAAGTTAACTAATAGATGCCGCGTTTTAAATGTCATGTTTTTTGACAGTTTTAGATATTCGGAATTTTCTCTTTGAAGTTTCAGTCCATATATAAATATAACTTGTAACAATAACGAACTTAGTATAAGACCATTGCCTGTCTAGCTAGATTACTTTTAGGAGATAAATTTTATTACATTAAAACAATAAAAGGGCAGATGTAAAGGAAACTTTCACAATTTAACATTAAAGCAACCGTTAAGACTTACGTTATGGTAAGTGTTATTAGTAGCGCGAGGCACAGAGTGTTGAGAACAGTTCGTCGACAATACATAGTCTATACTAATATTATAAAGCTGAGTTTGTTTGTTGGTACGCGCGAGTCGAGAATTAATGGTTTTATATATACGAATAAACAGTTTTAGTGTTGCATAGACCGTTTATCGAGGACGGACGGCTATATTAAATCACGCTGCGACGAATATGAGCGAAGTAACAGTAATAAAATATGGTAAAAAATAATCATCATCATTTAAGGGCTTCCGTTTCATGATGAGAGAACGATTCCTGTATAAATTAAGAAATGTCTGCAATAGAATGTCTCTCTTTCAAGATTAACTTGCAAGAACGACGGGACGTGGCTGACGTCGTGAGTCACAGCTATGATTTATAAAACTGAGGAGGTTGTTTTTGTGTTTGCAAAAGTAAATTTTGATGCCCAAAATAATAATAAATACCGCGTTGTCGCAGGGACAGCTAGTCATAAAACACTAGGAGTTAAAGAACAAAAAATATTTAATAAAAACATGCTACACAATTTTTTTGAAGAATGATCTCTTGCATAATCAATACTGCCCATGGATTTGATTCTTGCGTTTGAAACTAGTTTCCTACGCCTGGTGCATTAAAGCGACAAGCATCGCCACCTGAAAGAAACATATCTCGAATTAAAAAAAAATATTCTTCACGTAATAAAAATATAATTTGACTTTTTCAATTAAACATGTATTAAAAATATAATTGAATTTTTTAACACATGTTCAAAATTCGTATTACTATTTCAACTGAAATCTCTTAATATTATATTTGAGTTTTATCAAAGGTCGTTAAGTAGTTTTTTTGTCAGCTTCTCATTTATACAAGATACCATGACAACTTATATGCCTAAATCTTATCCTTTATGTTTTTTAGGTTTAAACATTCTTTTAAAGGAAAACTTACGTCAAAAGAATAGCCATAACCAAGTTACCTAAAAGTTACAAGTTACACTTTATAACTTTTTGGTGTACATAATATTGGCGATTATTTATAACAAAATTTAAAAGTAATTATATGTGAATACTTATTCTAAATTGCATGTAATGAACTTACAGCATTTCTCATAAGGTATGCATACGCCTTCATCGTTCCTCATCCATCCGCTTTTACATACACAAGCAGGAGAATAGCATCCAGCAGCTATAGAGGGACACGGTGGAGGGTTTTTAAGGTCGGCACAGTTTTTCCAGCATACTTCCAAATCGCATTTTATATATTCTTCATTTTCAGGGCAATCTGGAATACACGTTACGTTTTACGCATTGTATTAGGGTTTATATTTTGTCGCCATTGTTAGTAGTAAATATAAATTTGATGTTTTTTTACTCTTACTTGAAATGATTTAAGCTATACACAAATGCCCACATATTAAGTATACGAATCCATATTTAAAAAGTTAACTACTCACCCCATGGCTTATCTTCATCGATTGCCAATGAAAAGACAGCGACAAAACAAAGACACAAAACAGTAATTTTTAAAGCCATTTTTTTAAGGGCCAAATCACAAATCCTACAAGAAGCGATCTAGACGACACTGTCCGTGGTTTGAAGAAGGTTGGCCTTATGTAGAGGATTATATCTGATACCATAATAAACCTTGATGTAGATATAAAACAGGTTCTCAATAATTACCTTAGGTACAACACAAACAAAATTACGTATCCGCGTGCATTGAGGAAATGCCCATCATAACAAAAGGTTAAATATTATGATATTAGTTCTATACGTCTTTATTTAACGTCAGCGGTACATATTAAATTAACTGTTTAAAACCCATAATATATGAATTTAATGCATTTGGTCTTCTGTTGCGAATGCCTCACGTGGTCTCCCTAATTTATTTATTTTCCCACTTTTATTTAATTTGTTACCATGGTAACACAGAAAAAAATATAAATTTTTTGTTTACAATACAGCCGATGTAACTTGGCAGGCCTGATCTAAGCGCGAAACGCTGCGCAGAAAAGTTCTTTAGGATGTCAACGGTGGTAAGAGCGAGGGGCGCGGGACCAAGATCTAGGCTAGTGATTGACTCAATGTCAACACAATCGACCGCTTATTCTATCAAATTTTGTAATCGATTTAGATTGTGGATTTTAAATCGTATGAAATATTGTACTAAATGGATTGATGAACACAGTTAATGGTGTTGTTAATAAACAATACCATGATTACCTTAAAAGGAAAATTAAATAATTAAAAACTTTTTTCATTATTGAACTACCTGTCTATAGTCCCCCCCTTAATACTTAATCGGAAATTATTTTTAACTTCGGCCCGACGTTTCGGACGCTTTCCTGCAGTCGTGGTGACGGGATTCATTCAAATAAGTTTAACTATGATATAACGCGTTTTAACCCGTTAAAGTGTTTTATTAAATACTATTGAACCAAGGCGGCTAATTTACATAGGTAAAGTACTAATTTTTATAGACTTTTGTAGAGTATTATCTTATTTTATGTATGTATATTGAATGGTAGAGGAGTAGCTATCGCAAAAGGTTCTATAAACAAATTTGAGAAAAATGAATTTTCCACTATAGTTGAATTAGACATGCAACTTGTAGTTGGAACTAAGTATGGAAAATAACTCAACAAAATAATTACATAGCACTTTACAATAATCGTGTGCAAGAGTACAATATGCGTAAATGTATCGCCATGTACACTAACATATAATTATAATCTAGGATTATTGACTGTGTAATTGAAAATTACTATGAAAGAAACCATTTCAAAACATCCGAGCGCACTCGTGTTATATAAAATAAATAAGCTTGTAAGTAAAATACTGGCCGCCTTTGTAGTTAGATGGTCATGTGTTGCCTAGCATTGCGTTAAATACGAGAGGTCCTAGATACTGGGTCTTTGGAATTCCGGGGATATTAAAAATACTTTCGGTCGGTCAGGGCACAGGAAAATGTAAATAAAAACCGATCATTAAAACTAAAATTTTAAACTTAACACAAATAAATGTGTACGGTCCGTGCCCCATGGGGTCAAACAGGATTTCATTTTAAATAAGTTTTATATAACCGATGTAAAAAGTAATTAATTTTTAAATAAAACACTTTAACGGTTACGGCCCGACGTTACGGCTGCTGCAAAGCATCCGAAACGTCGGGCCGAAGTTAAAAATCATTTCCAAATAAGTTTAAGTAATATATCGCGTTTTAAACCGTTAAAGTGTTTTATTTAAATGTGTACTACTCGCGTAAACTATAGACAGTATTTAATTAATTTATTTATTTAAAAATAGAACGCAAAGGTCACTTTTATCAACAGCGTCCTTCCTAGCTTTATAAATATGCTGGGCTCCTGCTAACAGGGCATATATGTACTTATTGGATATCTTGGGGACACTTTTAAAAGCTACATAGCTTAGATAATTAGTAAAGGTAGCTTAATTCACTGGAATATAGATCAACAGGCTAAACATTCAAGAGAGTAATATTATTAATAGGAATATTTCAAGTAATAGCTTAGGTAGTGTTAGCCTAAGACAAATGCATATGAGGACGAAGTAACAGAAGATGACATCAAAGAATTAAAGATGGAACAAATAGTAAGATTATACAAGCAAACCGGAAGGTTTGAAGGGGACACGGTGAGAGTTGGATAACCCAAAACCTCTGCAATGAGTAAATGGGGAAATGGGTGCAATGGTTAACTGATGGTGCGGACTGATCACCTGGCATTCTAAAGGAGTCCCGGAAAATAATAAAATAATAAGGTAGTGTTAGGAAGTGTGGTCATCCTCGAGTCCAAAACATGTTAAATTATCGGTTTTAGCTAAAGTCCATAACTTAGTAGCAGTGGTTGTTAAGGCCCTAAAATACCTAAAACACCATTGTAGGCTTAAGAGCCTACCCTCTTAGACCCTCTGTGAAAGGCCAATAGGTACATTTAAAGAAAACTATCCAATCTGTACCGATAAATATTGGAGTCACGCACAAATATAACACCCTTCTAACAATTAGCTTTCCTTAATATCGCTAAGTGAAGAATAAAAGGCAAGTGATAAAATTACCTTTACGTAAGTTTCGGCTGATGTAAGCCATTAGGGGTTACGGCAAGATGCCACGAATTTATGTGTTTCCTTTATGAGACTAATAAAATAGGATGAGGTGAATTGTTATCCGGCCGAGTTGTAATCAGGTATAATACCTGTCCTATGCGGAGTTATAATGAAGTTGTCTAATATAAAGTTTATTCATTTCCGTCATAATTAATAAGCTACTTAGTTTTGTATATCTTTAGACATATTATCTTCTCTTTCAGCCTTATTATACAACTCAAGCCTAATAATCAGATTATAGACAAGCCATTCATTTTATAAATTTAAAATTTATATAGATTCAAAAAAAAAATAACAACGACGGGATTTTCATCTGTCAAAAAGATAGTAATTCTTTGGTTATTCTTAACAAATATATATTTTCACTAGATTTTTTTTATTTAGTAAACTTAATTTATATATAATAATTATATATTATAAATAATTATTGGAGTGACTTTTACTTGGAGATACTTTGAATAAATACAAAATATACTTTACAAAATCTTAAGTAAACAGCTGTATAAATTTGAAATAGGAATTTCTAAATAAAACACTTTAACGGTTCAAACCGCGGGAAACAGTCTCCCATTGACCATGGCTCGCTGCAGAAACGAAACGTCGGAACGTAGTAAAATATTTTTAACTAATACAGTTCGCGTATTAACCGTTCCGTTTTATTTAAATCTGTACTACTCACGTAAACGAGACAGTATGTGTATTTCTAATAAAAAGGAGATATTTGAAATCGCAACGGCCTCCTGACCGCTTTGGCAAAACACCATTCTCATATGTAACCATAACAAACCAATATTTAAAAACGTGAAAGGGAAAATTTCAGCGGCATTGCTTTAAGATAATGTAAAAACATCACTCGCGTCTACCGCCGGAAATGTAAGCTTTTGATGGCCTCGTGAAATTTTTGTGGGGCTCACATTTCATGGATTATAAAACTCTGTACGAGATGATCCATCCTTGTTAGAAGTTTTAGCATATGTATGATTTATTATTCTTACGGTGTCACCTTGAATATACATTATGCTTCCCTGGGAATGAAAATATGGGGCTTTCAGTAACACCTTCGCAAACAAGTAGTTTTATATTGCCTTTTTTTAATAACCAATGTTTTTATTATTTTCTATTACAGCTTTATTATTCATAATACCCCAAAAACTCTAAGGGAAAGAAACTTACGTACTAACCTATACATAATAGGCGGCCTTATCGCTAACCAGCGATATCTTCCAGGCAACCTGAAGTACAAGGGAAATGTTTTAATTATACTAAAATGGTCTACGTATAAGTGCTTATGCAATTGATAATAAAACTCTTATACACAACTTGAAAATTTCAATATAACGTCGATTTGTCTTGCAATATTTACTTAGATTAGATTACTTAGATATTGGAAATTGTTTTTTTACATTCTGTCAAACCACTAATGGACCATTTTTAACATAGGTATGTATATATAAATAGAGACAAGCCATGTTGCACCCATGGGTACCCTTTGTCCAGCCGAGTGTTGACGTGTAAAAATCGAGTCATAAATATACGTGCCAAGGAAATGGGGTATATGTGTTTTAAGGGAATTTCAAGGCGCTAAATATATTTACTTACTTATATACCTACCGGATCTGTAGCTCATCGTGTATTGCCTAGCATTGCGTTAAGTGTGGTAGGTCCTAGGTTTGAAATCCTGGGAAACAGATTGTTTCGGTCGAGCAGGGCCCAGAGGTCTGATAAATTCGATACGCACTAGTGAAACGGACACAGAATTGTGTTCCTTCCGTGCTCTACGGATATTTCAATTTTAGTTATTTAACTACTTATTTATTCTAGATAGAAGAACTTACTCCTTGCTGGCATAAACTTTAGATTTTTTTCTACATTCTTATTGAATCAAATTACTTGGTATTCATTACAAATTGAGTTATACGGGCTTTTACCGTGTAGTCATCAACAAGGCATTGATTTCGTAAACTTATTACCAAATTTAGCTCCGGATTTAAATTTAGTACTTGATGAGGAATTTTACTTATTAAATGAAATATACATATTTTAACATCAATATAATTTAACGCAAGATGAAATTCTCTAGATATCAAAGCGTGTCGTGGTTTAGTTCAGTCGCCTTGAAGACCACAAATAATTTACAATCAACTTAATACCTACATAGTATTGTCGCTCTTAACATATAACAACATAAGGCTTCATTTTCCATAACTGGTTTTGGAAATTCTTCACAATGGGAAAAGAAATGAAGTGAAAGCAAGACGAAATAATAAATAATTTTATAAAAATCAATAAATACACAGGTACATTCTTTATACTGTGTGTAGTTTAGGCAAATAGTACAAAATGCGATTTATATTAATTAAACTTATTTGAAGATTATTTTAACTACGGCCTGACGTTTCGGATGCTTT